TTTTTTTCAGTTTTCCAAAGGTCCGTCAACAATTTCTGCATATCAAGCATATTGTATTAATTATAAAGCCACAATGGAATATCTTGGTTCGATTCGACAAAAGGAAGAACGTTTTACGGAGTTCGAGCGGGTTAGTTTTATTTAACTTGAATGCTTCTATGCATTGGTCACTCTTGTTGCTATTTATAACTATTTACTTTTGGTGAGACGATCAAGTAAGACTGAGTATTTGAGCAAAATGCAGTTGTAATTATTTTCTGAATAGAACATGAATCGCTGTCCCGAAATTTCCGCTGAAAGCTTTTCGTGAAAGTTCCACCTTGATAGGCTTTGCGACAGCAATGGTACAACTTGAGGCTACGTGCGTATAGTTTGCAGAGTACGAAAGATGATTTCGACAGTTTCACGACGCTCTAAATCATGACAAACTGAACCTTTGCTTAGAATGTCCCCACAAATTTGAAAGAACTAAGTTTTTGGTGTTGATCAATCATGTTTCGGGATGCTTCCACGCATTGGACTTCCATTCGAAATTGTAGTGACGTTTGAATGCGAATGTGGTCTTTACAATGAATTATGGATATAGGATAAAGGACGCAGTTCTGAGGTGTTGATCATTTCCGTCTGAGAGGTGCGCCCCGCATTCGACCTCCGTTTAAAATCGTAGTGGGTGAATGCGTATGTGGCCTATATAATCATTTGCGGTGGCCAGCCGATGTACAAGTCAGTGCTTTTATCCTCCCAGACAATTCTGATACCTGTTAACCGACCCCAGAGGGATGGAAGGCCTGGTTGGCCAAGGCGGACTCCAACCCGTGACCATGCGTTTGTGAAGTGCGCCTTAGAGAAAGCGTTATTTCAAACATATGGGAAATTTTTTTTCTTCAGATTGATCTGTTTTTCCAGATATGCCTAGCCGATGAGCGATGCTTCCGATTACAACTCGAAGATCTTCTCATAGCTCCATTGCAAAGGTACAGTCCTATCATCCTACATGAAGTACTTGTTTATTACGACACTGCAAGTGGAAGATCCCAAGTAGCGTCAGGGGAAGAACCCAGTACTCCTATCTGACCCGTCCTAGGATATGACACAAAACGCGGAGTCTGACCCCGTTTTCTAGCACCCTGCTTAAACGAGTTCGTTTTTTTTTTTTTTTTTGATCGTTTTCTTATTCTGGGAGTTTCAGAATAACTCGATTGCCAATTCTACTTCGTGAAATCCATAAGTATACTGAAGAACAAGAAAATAAGGCAAAAATTGAAAAAGTGATTGATTCGATGACCGAAAGCCTTCGTGAGTTTTCTTTCTCATTTGCCATAGTAGCAGAATTGCTATTTTACGAGGAAGCTTCAGGATCAATCGACGACAGCGTTCAGTGGTTGCACAATTTCGAGCGCCTACAGCAACTCCAAACTCAGGTTATCTGGCCATCAATTAGCGAATTGGAACCTCGAGCTTTCGTTCCAGACGTGAGTTGTCGTGCTCTAAAAAGTGGAGACATTTCCTGAGTAGCAGAATAACCAAAAGACAGGGGCCATTAAGGTGAACTAGACAGATCTGGGGTAGCTTTTGCGACCAGTGGCATCTTTCATAGTCCACGATTTTGCTAGCGACCGGCGACCAGTCGCGCGACTGGTCGTGGACTATGAAAGCAGCCAGTCACAAGCAACATCAAAGGGAGGGTGTCAAAATGACCCATGTGTCCCCATTGCCAAGTTCATTAGATGTTCCGAATCTGCTCATCCGCACTTCCCTACCTATATAATATTTGGTGATGTTTGCTAGGGGCTGCTCAAAATATTTAGAGTAATTGATTATTTGATCGCTTTTGTTATCAGTAATCAATGATTACAATCAATCGTGATATAAACAACCATGAATGGGGTAATCTAAGTTTGATTACCCCGGAACAGCCTTGTCGCCCTCACTTGAGCACATCATTGAACCTTATCTTTGAGGAAATGGAGTAGTTTCGACGAGTAGTGGACACGATACGGTATTCGTGGTGCGCAACTGCAATCCCCTCACCCCTCCCACCAACGTGCAATCCGAGCAACCCCTGCTTTCAGTAGCTTATCAGTTAATGTCATCAAAATTAGCCAAGTCTTTGATGGTCTTTTATTTTTCGATTAGAACTTACTATCTAATTGCAGTTCCTCAAAGTAGCCCTTTCTCGGCAGTTCTGCGAAAACCTTTTGGCTCATCCACGGAGAAAACTTATCCATGAGGGCCCACTTGAACTAGTCGGTAAGTAAATTTAGCCTTCCAGATCCCTATTGATGGGATGTCAGGAGGGTAATTCCAGAGAATGGTCGAACAGTGGACGTCTACGCATTCCTCTTCAACGATATGTTCGTTTTGTCAAAAGCGAAGAAGTGTGCCAGCAAGCTACGAGTGGTTCGTTTTTAATGATTCTTTTACTATCCAATCACTACCATTCCCGCTCGTGATTACTGTGCACAAATGTCATGCCTGGTGACCTTGATGGCGCCTCCTGAGACACGCTCAAATGTATGGCCTGTAGTGTTCTGTATAAGGATTTAAGAGAGAATGAATCGATGGTGCTGATGCCAAATTAGGCACTTAAATGTTCGTGGTCAACCTCCGGCTTGTCCGAAAGGATGTGTCTCCGGAGGTCCTCTCGAGTCACTGCCATAGTCAGGTCACCATACACCTGTTTTCAACTACTAAAGGCAGTCAAGAGCTCCCTTGAAATGACTCTAGGCCGTTCTATTTTCCCAGGCCTATCTTGGTCGGGTCCATCTGGGGTTCTTTTTACACAATTTTCCTGAGCATCAGAAGAAAAAAATTTTTCAGAAAGGCGCGCCCATTGGCAAGAGCGATCACTACGTTGTCCAGCGGCAGCCGGTCCCTTTGGATTCGTGTGTATTCTGCGATGCAGACTCGAACGACTCGAATAGCTCACGTAATTTTTATGGCTTCTATGGTTTCCATGTTTTTTTTTTACTTTCCTAGGCTTAATCTTATATGACGTATTTACGATTCCAGTTTCACTCAAATTTGCCTTTGTAATTATTCATCTCACACGATACTACCAAGTCGTTGCCATTTATACACTTCAGGCTGCAGACAAACATGACAAGGTTCGTGTCTGATAAACAGTAAACATTGCATAATCAACGTCCATAAACAGAAATACTCATTTCGGCATTTTTCAGGAGCTATGGATTGAGAAATTCCAAGAATCAATTGAAAACTATGAATCAATACAGCTCAAAGACATGTTGAAATGCACGCCGTTGTTTTCCAGTCTATCATTGAGAAGGTAATTTTAGCCACGCCTCCACTGCGATTTTTCCCTTTTTTCGTGGAAAAAATCGTGGATTGTTTCTCGTGGAAACTTTCCATTTTTACTTTGTTAAAGAACCGACTTACAGTAGCATGACTGTTCCATCTATTTCGAAGAGCTTGTCAACATTGCCTAATGACTTGAGCGAGCAGTTGTGGGGAACTACTCCTGATATATACTCTGATTTTAGTTATTAATCAAACACCATTCCTAGTCAAATTTTAGGGTTACCCGAAAATTCCTTGAAAATTACTGTTCCTTTTTGGGGGTGTTTACTGTAAGAGTATGTTGATCTAGAAGAATAATCAACATGGCGAGAAAAATGAGAGGGTGAGGTGGACTGGACTGAAATTGCTGCATGTACACAGGTGCATGGTTTTGAAGAAGTAAGAGGTTCCCGCGACGGGTTACCGATCGGTGGGATTGCACTAGCTTCGTTCCTCCTCCAATAGCGCTCCTGATTAGAAAGTAATGGAAGAGGAACGTGTTCCTGATGCTGCTCTACTCATGTTGTTCCCAACTCAGACGGCTTCTTCGAGTCTGTTCCAGAAGTTCATCTTGTCGCGCAAAATCAAAATAGATCCCTTGCGAAAATCCAGATGGGAAATCGCTGTTTCTATCGCTCGCCCAGAAGCAGAACCTGTTCCAAAGTCACACACCAAAAAATAGCTCGTCTCTTTCCTCTTCTCTGACTTTATTTAGCACGAACTACATGTACCTGCAGACGTTGCAGTGACATCAGCAGGTTTCCTTGTGCAAGCAGGGTACTGATCCAGAGTTTCCACGGTAACCACAATTTTACATCCTCATGAACCACATAACGTAAAGAAAACTGGGAACAAGCTTGAAATGACGTCATGCCTTCTGGAATCTTCATTTTTGAGGGAGGGTAGAGAGTTTCAAATCTGCAATGAAATCAGTCAATCCGGAAGGAAGTCAAAAAATTGCTTATTGACAGGATCGCATCTCAACTCTTGTCATGCTAGAAGGGCATTCTTGCTTGTTTGCTTAATTGGTGGTTAGAAATCGTGGTAGAAGCGAACGTTTACTTTAAATCAAATGATTTTCTCAGAAGTGTCCGTATGTCCTAGCGCGGAACAAGAATCAAACGGAAGTTTGGCTCAAACTAGCTAGGGAAATAAGATGTTGTTCTTCAACTAGAAGTGAAAACAAGGGTGACGTGAACTAGTGACCATTGGCAATAGTCTCAAAATTATTCAAATAAAAGTGACAAATATAACTGATTGATAAATTATTGGTGGAATAAACAGGGAGTTATTGACAATGCAGGGATAGATGCCAAAATCATCTTGCATCTAGCAGCAGGTCCTCCATCAGTTTAGAGTCTGTTGTTTTGCATTTGTAGTTGTAGAAAAATAAAACATCGACAACAGTCCCTCGGCCCCTGTAAGGCCCTCGTTCAAGAAAAATAGCTAAATAGCCATTTACCTTCTTTTTCTATTAGAGACGAGAAGAGGATGTGCGGCGGATCCTAAAAGTGGATGAGTCAACTGCTATTGCTTAAGAGTTGTGCTCGTAACAGACTAGCCACAACTCTTTGGAAATGCTTTAACAGTTCCAGAATTTAAATATGCAATGTCTATGTGGTGGCTGGAGGTGGTGTAGTGGCAAGAGGCGCACTATCACACACTCATGCTTGCCGGTTCAGATCTAAGGTCGATGTCCGCTTAAACCAATCGATCTCTTCACCCTCCGGGGTCGATTAATTGGTAACAGACTCGTCAGGGAGGATAAAAGCACTGACTTTTAGATCGGCTGGCCACCTTGATCCATTGTGAGGAGACATAAGGCGTTCAACTCACTGAAATTCTAATGGAAGTCGAATGCGGTGGCGCATCCCCCAGACAGGATTGATTAGTATCCCAAGGACTTTATCCTGTTGTTCTTTAATTTACATGGATTTTTTGTGGAAACTATTCTTACGTATAGTGGCAGTTCTTAAAGAAATCACCTGCCCCACCTGCCGTCCCGTTGATTACCGATTTGCTCGAACGGGCGCCAGTAACATCTCCATTCGTCCCCGTCGTGATCCAGAGTAGTCCAGTGGATCGCCTTTGCAAAGTCAACGGGATATGACCCTACCATTACGTCCGTTTAGAGCTCTCGCAAGGACCTCTGACCGCAGGGCTGACAGCCGTCCTGCTATCCCCAGGGATCCAGCCAATAGGAAATATAGTATAAAGAGGAACTGAAAAAAAATTCCCGAGGAAACAGAAGTTTCCAAACAACGAAATGCTCTAACAAATTTCTAAACCAATTACTTAGCTGGATTTGATGGTGGAAAGTTTTACTGAAGTGTTTATTACTAATAAAGTTCTTTTTCAAGGTGCTCCTCTTCGCGGTTAATGACAAAGCATTCAAAGCATAAGGACAAGGATGGCAGTGATTCTGAGGAAAAGAATGATTAATTGAATTGAATTAAATTAAATTTTATGTATCTGTGTATATCATTGTTTGTCTGTATCCCTCTCTATTGTGATTTTTCATTGTGTTGACCTGTTACTTGAATATTTCTATTGAAGATTTTCTCGTTCAAAGTGCGTACAGAGTACATGTCACGGAGTAATACGAACTCATCAGCTTATCTTGTACTTTTAAGATTTCTTTTGACATTTTTTTAACTTTTGCACGTCCCGAGTTAAAGGGAATCTCGGTAGTATAGAGGATAAAGAGCTCGGTGCCCATACAGCACAAGTACGGGTTCAAATGCCGTCCGAGGCTGGAGTTCTGACTATAAGCGGCCAACCTTGTCAGGTTTGCATCTCGCGTGCTCCGGCGAAATAGCAGCAATTAATAAAACATCAAGTTAAACCAGTTGCATAAACCGCCAAAGTTTCCTTGGTAAAGACCCCAATCACGACTGGGACACCCTTTGGGTGATAGAATGTAGTTATCTATTCCTTGCTGTGTTGAATAGCAGATAATTCTAAGACGTAATGGGCAGCTTTCTGTTGACAAACGCTCTGTGTTGATATGCTAACGTCTCTTGGGAATCACCCATATAAATGGTGGTAAAAGGATGAAAAGAGTGGGTTGGGTCAAAGTCCTGGAAAGGGGGATGAAGAAATCCCACATAGATCACATCGGGCTCTATTAGGGTGACGAGCATTGGACTCTAACGTCATCCTCAGTAGTTGATTGCCTTGGTAAGTTGTCTCGCGAGGCAAGTTAACCGACGAGACAACTAATTAATGGTGACCAACCGATGAGGCACGAGCTGCGAGACAACTAGCTAGGATTTGCCATCAGTTACCAGCAGACCGAGCTTTAGTTTTTGTAAGAATAGCGGATGTAATAGCAAACAAAATGACTCTATTCTTGCTCATTTAAACTTTACTGTGATTTATGATCAGAAGGTTTCGAGTTGGTTGATGGGGATCAGGAATGGCTCGAGTGTTGGTAGCGACTCAGTCAACATACCTCATAAGCGCCTCTTCCAGTTAATGGGCATACCACAGGGCAATCGCTCTGATTTTTTGATGAATTCATAAGGAGCTTCATGACGAGCTTCCCTCGAACGATCAATTTCGGTTTCTGAAGAGATGTCAGCCTCGAGCAGCAAGTCAGGATTTCGATATTTTGGTAATTACTGGTTCTGTCATGGTTCTAGTGGTGGCTTCGAAGATCGCTAGAGAGCATGGATGATCCCCGACACATCAAATCGTTGCAGTTGTTGTCAATAGCGTCCATTGAAAATCTCGAACGTCATCTGTTTTTAATACAGTTGTCTAGTGAACCCCAAGATCGCAGAACGACACAGTCAATACCGCTGTGTCAACAATGTCTGCAAGTAACAAACAAACACTTCTTACCAGACATTACATCCTTCATGTCGTCCTTAGAGGGTGAATATTATCCGACGGAAGCAGATCAGCAGTACTGCTGTCGTTGAAGGTTCATTGATCATAGCTAAAGAAACACTTCGACAGTGTTGATATTATCCGAACAACATTTGCCAGGTATCAAAGAGCTTTGGTAGTCTTAGGTAAACATAATTGTTTTGCACAGGAAAGTTACAAATAATATGAAGAACACGATCTATTTTCCCTTTTTTTTTGACCTATAAAATTAATGGATTTAAAAAATTTTGTAAGAAATTTGGCTCGAGGTAGAAAAGAAGTCAAAAGTCTTTATGTCGTCCTTCGGCATCCTTATGTTTGTAGAATTTCTGTTCCAGTTTCTACCTCTTCATAGTAGAGGAATAAATGTGAAGTATAGGGTATTGGCATGGGTCAATAGCGTTTCAATAGGCCCTACACAGACGTTGTCCATTCAGAATTATGGCACTGTTTGAAGCCCATTTGGTCCCTATAGGGGCTTGGAAATGTTAGCCCTACGCCCGAAGCAGTGCTTCTATTCCCCTCAGTCAATCCCTACCAACTTGCTGACGCTGAAAAAGTGATAGGTTCTGGAGCTCCGGACAAATATCGACTTGGAGTTTGATCATCAGACCATACGTTTGGTAGCGGCGTGTTTCAGCAATGTCTCCCCGTCCAGTTTATTTTGTTTATTCATAAAATTTCTTTTAAACGTTTCCAAACGTTTTTTCTCTTGAAGTTTCCTGTCCTTTCAATTTACCACAGCCCAGCCTAGTAACAATACCGAGATCCATATGCCACTCTCCTGTTGCAAGATTTTAGGGTGTCTTGAGGATGTTCCAGCTGTCTTATGGTCTTCAAATCATCACGCCAACCCGCTGTTAAATGCCAATTTCATGAGTTTCCATCATACCCAGTAGTCAGCAAGCTGATCTATTGAGGATGTACTCCAATCCGGTAATCGTTTCATACACCTTCCTCTTCTCTCAGGTAACGGGTTATAAAGTCAAAAACGGACTGAAGTGCGCAACTCTGAACTGTTCTTTCAAGATGATGTGTAGAACAGCTCAGGAACTCCCTCCCCCCCCCCCCCCTCTTCCCCAATGAGCCCTGTTTTCAGCTTCTTCCTTATCATATGAGT